AGGTGAACTACATCAACTATCAGGTATTTATATATATATATAAATATGAATATATAATGAATTAGCAGGAAAGCCAGCACGATGAAAAAAAAAAAAAGACAATGAAAAGCAAACAGAAAAACTAACTCTGAAGGAAGCAGATATAATTCATGAAATAAAAGAGAAATTTTTTAAGAAGCATTCCAATTAATATACTTCAGTATTCAGAACATATTCTACCTATAAGGTACAAACAAGGTACTCTGAAAAAGGAGCAACCGTAGAATAAAAAAGAGTTCTCTGACAATAATAATATGATTACTTAAAAAACTCCATGGAGGTACTGCTTATTAAATCAAAAAAATCCTCTAGACATAGCATACAAAGACACAGACAGAAAATGAGAGAAGGACTGGCTGGTTAGCTCACTTGGTTACAGTGTGGTAGTATAACACTAAGGTCAAGGATTTGGATCCCCATACTGGCCAACCACAAAAAAAAAAAAAAAAAAAAAAAAAAAAAAAAAAAAAAAAAAAAAAAAAAAAAAAAAAAAAAAAAAAAAAAAAAAAAAAAAAAAAATGAGAGAAAGATAAGTAGTCCAACAGACCTAACATTTGACTAGTAGAAGAGATTTTTTTTTTTTTTAAAAGGAAGTGAGAAAATTATGAGGTTTTTTTTTAGAATGTCGAAGAAAATAAGTTTTCAGGCTGAGTAAACTCGCAGGGTATCAGAAAATAGATTTTTAAAAATACACATACCTGAAGATATTATCATGTAATGACAAAAATAAAAACTGTAATAATAATAATACAGTAATAATGCCAAAAGATTCTAAACATAAATGACATGTTATCAACAAAAGGATAAGAATCAGTCTTATCAGCAGCACTGAATAGAAGGCAATTTTTAAAGTTTTAATGATAGATATTTTTTAGCTTAGAATTCTATACTTATTCAAACTATCAATTAACTGTGAGAGCAAAATAAAGATATTTTCAGACTAGCAAATATATAGGATATTTTCCTCCTGGGTGAACTTTTAGCAAGTTACTAGCCTGTATACTCCAGCAAAACAAGGGCAAACATGGGATTCAGGAAAAGGTGTACCAACCCTAGAAAAAAGCAAAGAAAATTCCCTGCAAGATGGCTATGCAGCAAGTCTAGAGAGAAGATTGTGAACTGGAGCAAGAAAACAGAGGATTCAAGGAGTGAGGTCTTATGAGGGGGAAAAGGAGGAATTCAATAGACTATGTAGTAAGATAAGGGATTTGGTGGGGGGGGGGAAGGAATGAAGTAGTAAACCAAAACTGCCAGGATAAAAGGGGAGAAGGGGTAGTTTCCTAAAGAAAATAAACAATACATATTTCCATGAAAAATGTCAAAAACAATACACTTAATGACATCTAGTACTGAAAGAAAGGGAGCCAGCAAAGGAGAAAGGGAAAGAGTGGCTAAAGAGGTAGGAGATAATCGAAGGATATATTTAAAAAAAAATTTTTTAAGTTACCAACGAGGTAAATTCCTGCTTCAAAGTAAGGATGGTGAAGATTGAGTAAATGTCTTTGGAAATGCAGGTGATTGATGATTCAGAAGGAATTTTAGTAACTTAGTAAAGATGGAGCTAGATGGCAAATATAAGAGAGTAACTGAAGTGAGTAAATGAAAACAGTGATGGTAACTGTTTTTGTCTAATAAATAAATGAGAAAAGCAGAGCAATACATGGAGGAAACATCAGGGGCCAGGAAAAAACTTTGGTCTGCATGTTTGTTTTTAGGATACAAAAAACTGAGATATTGATAGAGGGAAAGAACCTATAAGAAAGAGATGAGTTAAGTAAGGAAATAATGAAGTGAAAGCAGACAAGGATGAACTCAAGACCAGAGGTGAAGCTATTCTTAACCTTGGAAAAGGGATATTTTCCTGTGAGAGAGGAGACAAGTAGAGGACACATCAAAATAGAGGGAAAGTTTACAGTATTGAGGAATATATAGCATAAAAATTTCAAAGTTGAATATGAGATAAGAAAGGTATGTTTCTTTTGGCAGCCTTGAAATTATGAATTGTTCAGAGCGTGAATATTTTAAACTACTTCCTACAAAATGCTAAGATACATTTTCATGAAATATAAAATGCAGACAAAAGCCAATCTCAAGGGTGCAGTCATAGGTTAGATTTTATTTATTTATTTATTTATTT